GGTCTCTTAAGGTTTGATAAGAGCAGCTGAAAATAGCTCAATTCTTTGAAAGGGAGGAGAAAGAAATAAAGGAGGACACATCTGGTGGAAAACTCCTCTGTAGGAGACTGTAATGTGGATGTATTTGCCAAAACCAATGAATGTGCAACTCAAAGAGAGAAAACTAGTGTAAACTGGTTGATAATGACATGTCAACATTAGTTCATCCATTGTAACAAAGGTACCACACTGACACCCAAGTTGATGACGGCAGAGGCCATGTGGTTGAGAGAGGCATATGTGGGAACTCTGTGCTTTCCATCAATTTTTCTGTGAACCTAGAACTGCTCTAAAAAATAAAATCTATTAGTATTTTTTTTAAATACTAAAATAGATGTCAGCACAAAGAACTGCCACCATGTGATGCTTTATGGCTTTATGAACAACCCTGTTCTTTCTCAACTATAAAAAGAAATAGACCCCATTAGAACAAAGTAGAATAAACCATGTCTACCCATTGAGATACAAGAGAATTCTCTCATGGGTATGAAGCATTGGCTAAGAGCTAAGTCAGGTAGCAAAGAGAAAAGTACTCTAGTGTGTGTGTGTATTTTGGGGGTGCGGATAGAAATCAGTATTGAAAAAGCAAAATTAAGAAATTAAAAACAAGCAAACAAAAATTCCCAACACTTTTTCCAAAATAAAGGAGACATGGCTTAATTTACTTCTATCATCTTCTTTCCTTATCTATGGCCCAGATTTGGATTTCTAATGTTAAAGATCATAACAAAATTTGCCAATTCTCAAAAAAAAGTTTTATGTATAATTCCTCGTTTTCACAATAAAAGTACTCCCTGAAATTCAGTCTTCTTATATCAATATTAACTTTTTTACATATTTTTACATATTAATTGTGTCTATGAATAAGGTTAGCGCTATGGCCAAGGAATCAGTATCAATTAGTATTAATTAATTAAGTAGAGTAACTAGCAACTTCTACAACCATCTCAAAGAATAAAGTTGCACCTGGAATCTTGTCATAGACTCCTGCTGGCATTGGGTTCTCCACACACAGAAATGTAGATCCAGGGTCCTAGAGCGGACAGGGACTTCCTCAAGGTTATATATTATATTCCTAACACAGCCATCTGTGGTAGAGCCAACTAATATGGCTACCCCGCCACACCTAAATGCCCCACATGCACCTGATTTATAGTCTCGAGTAAGCCAGCCAACAGCCCCATGGAGGAGGCACTAATTTTTAAATAAGTCAAGGTGGATTCAAGAAGTTACTAACATGCCTAACATCCTACAGTAGGCCAGCGGTCAGAGCCAGGATTCAAAGCAGTCCTGTGTGAACTGACAGTCTGAAGGGTAAAAGAAGTCACAATAGGGCAGACAGAGGAGGGACAGGTCGAGGAGGGACTATCACGGTGCCCAGCCACAGGAAGGGGGCGTAATTACGGGTTGGTCAAACTTTCACCCTGCCTTGTCACTTGTCATGCATGATAAGGATGAGACTTGCCTGTCTTCCTGCCTCTGGGAGTCACTGCTTCCGGAGTTGCTGTTCAGATAGTGCAGCATGCCAAACGTTGCAGCAGAATAAGGTGCTGTGCATTCTCCCAGGGTAAGGAAGCAGGAAGGGCCAGAGTAGGGGGGAAGTGGTCAGAGGAGGAACCAGAGCCTGGGGCTTTGAAGACCAGCATTTCAGGCCAGAAGCAGTCATTTACTAGCTCTATATCCAGGGACATATCACCTGATTTCCTCAAACCTGTTTCCTCAACTCTAGAGTGAAGATAGGAGCACCTGTCCAGAAAGGCTGTTGCGATGATTAAGACAGGACAGTGCAGGCAAGGAGATCCCATCATCGTCAGTATTATTACTGCAACATCCCTTTTTATCCCCTCTTGGCTCTCCAGCACCTGGTACCTTAAAAGTTCTCAGGAAATATCTGTTGAATTAATGAGTAAATATATAAAATGTGAAAACAAGTTAAACGGTTCCTCAAATAAAGATCAAGGCTCAGGAAACATTTCAAACACCACCGCGGCAGCTAAACAACTCAAGTATTAACTAGAGTTCTCTCTTGTCCTACCAATTTCTTGTACCGAGCTAAGAAATTCTCCAAGACTAAAGAAAGGGAAGACCTCTCTCTCAGACAGAAACTTTATTTATTTTGAACAAGGCACGTATCATATCCCGAAATTTCTCTAGTTAATCTCAGTCGCTATTGATCTGGGCTTTACATGTACCGTTTCATTCTGTGCTCACAACCATTTGGAGTTACACTATTACTATAGCCCAATTATATTATTTTATATATTATATACTACTTATATTATTTTACAAATACAACTGATATGCAGAGAGTTAAGTGAATTGACCAAGGCAATAAGCCACTTTGTACACAGGAAGAAATAAAGTTTCCAGGCAGGTGCCTCATTTCTCCCAAGGTCACCAGCAGAACCAGAAGTCGAAAAACCCAGGTAGTGTGACTCAAGCCTTAACCACTACTTGATTCTGCGGGCCTTGGTCAGGCCCTCTCTCTCCAGTTCAACCTAACTGAAAATCCCCTCGAAGTTATGAGGTTAAAAAGAAGGCACAGAATATCAAGATACACAAATCCTGAGAGTTGACTACACCGTTGTACACGTTTCCCAAAAGAAAAGAGCAGAGAGCTCATCTTTTGAGTCATTTACAGCCACGCTGGACTGGACTGGACAGGGCATGAGAGACAGTATCACAGTAGTGGCTCATGTTAGCCAACCGAACACGAGGACCTCTTTCTCAATCGTGACTCCAAGGCTATGGTGTGCAGGCTGTAAAACCTCTCGCTCCCCCTTACCTCTGCTCCCATCCAGCCTGGCCTGGCCACGTCTCCTTCCACTTGCACTGGGCAAAGGCCCGATTTCATACCACTTCATAATCTGGGTGGCAATCTAAGCCATCAATGGCATTAGCAGTACAACCTCTAGTTCTGGGAGAGGGGAGGACAGAGTCACTCATTTACTCTCCCTGTTCAATCCACCCTAAAAACCAGTGCTACTTCACCCTCTTCAAACCACAGTCCTGACATCACCTTGAGATAAAACAAGGGCTTTCTAGTCTAGCAAACAAACTCCAACCCCTAAATTCCTTTGCTCACTCAAACTTTAAGGTCTCTTTGCCTGTTCGTAAGTATCAGATACATGAATGAGTTAGAAAACGTGATGCAAAGGAAACCCCGAGGAGAAATGGATACCATTGGAGCATGAAGCAAAGGTATTTTGAGAGCACTCAAGGCTCATTCATTTATTTTCCAGCCTTCCCTCTGGAATCATTGTCAGTATCCACCCTGAAGCACCTGGCTTTCTCCTCTCTTCCAAAGTTCAGCATAAACACATCTTCAGGGAAGCCCTCACTGACTCCTTGATGGAGAGCGAGCCTCTCCCTACACCCTGCACATTTCCTTCACTGCACCTATCATGACTCTAAACTCCTTCTCACAAATATTTTTGGTAGTAAGTAGTTATCTGCTTTACCTATTAGCAAGTAAGTTACATGTGGACAGAAACTACAGGTCTGGTTTAGGCGCTAGAATTTAGGATCCCCCTAGTTTAGTACTACGTGAATATTAGTTATATTAATTACATCTTTTCCTCCATCATCACTGTTAACTTCAAGTCTTTGATCTGATTTTCCTGATGGGAAAACTCCAATTAAATCTACACACATCTGCTTTATTTGAATACCTACCAACCACCAGCACCTCACAGGCCACCTTTCACGACAACTTGTTCTATAGTCTGAGCGACACTGGTTTCCCCTTAGAAGCAAGCTCGGGGGCAGGGACTATCTTTAAGCTTTTGTTTGTTTGTAATCTCTTTCTGTTCCCATAACAGTCTAGGGCTCGGCGGCCTCTGGCCCTTCGTACTTAGTACCCTGTTGTGATTGCAAATGCACTCACCATACTTGCATCTAGTCTGCAGATAAAATTGCTGTATTTGTTTAATAAGCACTTTTTCCAGTAAATTCAGTACAAGGAAATAAAAGCCCTTCTGCACTTATTCTGGGCCTGTTCATCTTGGAGATCCATTTAAACACTTCCAAACATGTCATTTTCCTACATTAAGCAAGCTCAGCGCACTAGGAGAAACAGGAACAGCCTACGCCAGAATCACCCCCAGGTAAGTGCACATTCTGTATTCGGCTCCCCACCGCACCCCCTCCTGTGTGACGAGAACCACGATACACGAAGCACTAGACTCTAGAGGAGAATGCTCTCACTGCTGCTTGAACTCCAATAATCTTTACCATTCAACACTCTTCCTACTTAAAATCCTCATAGGAGCCTGTCGATGGGGCCCAGGTTTGTGACCATCATCCAATGGTGGTGGCAGCTGCAGATGCTGGCCTGAGTGCTGGTGGCCTTGCACATGCCAGTCCGAGGCCACATCGGCTCCTGTACCTCCTGCTGGCACCTGCATCCTCTGTCACACCAACAGTGCCGCTTAAATCCCATTTGCTTGCTTTCTGTAATTAAATCACTCAGCGAGCCTAGTCCCTCTGTCTGGGATTCTGAAACCACCTAGGATGCAACATGGGTTACCGACCTTAATTTCAAAACTCCCCAGTGTAAATTCCAAAATGTGAGTGTGGTTTCTGGCAATGTTTGCACTGATTCTGAAAAATCAGTGAGTATTGAAAATTTATGTTCACATGACATTTTTCATGAACACGGAGCCTAGAAGCAATGGGTGATTAATTCTCACACAGTAAATGCAGGGAGGGTTTTCCAGTCACTAAATGAATTCATCCAAATGTTTACTGAGCAATGTAAAGATGAAACACACTAATATTTCAGAAAATCTGTGGTTAGGCTGAGTAGCTTGGATTTGGGCCAAAAATGGCAGAGAAAAGTATACAAATGGAAAAATATATAAATACAGTTAACTCTAAAAGATGGTTTATTGGAAACCCTCAGAGCATTTTTCAAAAAGACTTGACAGATTTTAATGTAATAAGACATAATGAAGAGGAAATGGTTTAAAAGATGTCATCAATCTTTTATTTAACTAAGCACTTGCCCTTCATTTTGAAGGAAATGATACAATTTCAAATCAGAACCTCCTTCTCAAGAAGTGGTATGAGAACAGAACATTGATTTAACACACAATCTTCAACAAAAATAAAGTTTATACAATTCACTAGGAAATAAAATGCATGTGGAATTTATCAAGTTAGTTGATGGAATTCTCCATGGGTCACAGGTATTACAGCTAAGAACAAAACAACATGATGGAAAGTTGAATAAACCAGTCAAGTTTACAGTTACCCTGATTAAAAAAAAAAAACAACTCACAAATAAAATGTAACTTTCCAAACAAATCCTTTCAATGATCATGATCACACTCGATTTTATACTAATTTACAAAAAAAAAAAAAGTTAGACAATCATATAATGTCAAGAGTCTTCAACACAGTGGATTCCATTTTGTTAAGAAAAAAAAATAGAAAACAAGTAGTCCTTAAATTTTCTTCACTCTCCATAGCACATGTAGTAGAAAATTAAAGTTTTGCTTCCAAAAATATGTTTCCATGTGGTTGTGGTGGTGTCGACTGGTGCTGTTAGGGCCAGAAGCACCAAAGACACAAGAAATTTAACCACTGTAATGTCATTTTCCATAAAAACTAAAAATTTCCTTAAAGGTCTGGAGTAAAGTCTTCTGCTAGGCATGTTAGTGCTATAAAGTCATTTTAAATTAAATGCGGAATAAAAGCTACAAAAAGTATTCGAGTTCTCTCAATATAAAAAGTTGTGTAGCTGAAGTTGTAGGTTCCTTGGCCATACATAAGCAGTCTCAATAAAATATTTGCTCAAGTAAGAAAATAGAATTTGTCTGATTACATTTAGCGTATGTTCCAGTCGGGTATCCTGCTTGTCCCTGCCAGAGCCTCTGAAGAACATTAGAATCAATATTCTTTTCCTCCAAAGAGCATCCGTAATTCACAGTACAAAACAGTTCTAGAGTCTTATTCCTAAGGAGAAACAAAAATTATTAAATATATATATATATTTTTTAAAGTGCCAGATGTAGCCATCGCCTGGGCATTAAAACTTATCCACAACACTGCCACCTTCAGGAAAGATGCCAATGGTTGATCCCATCCCCTTTCCTTGGAACCTTCACAGGTTGGTTGGTGCTTTACTTTAAGCATGACAAGACTGATCAAACTTCCAACGGAGTCACTGTTCTGAAGCATTCCACACATCATATCTCTGATAAGCTGTCAAAACGCATAAAAAGGAGCAACCAGAGCAGATCTCTTTCCCCTTCCAGCTCATTTTCAAGAGGTATCAAAAACCTCTTCTCTAGAGGAAGAATGCTATTATTGGCGTGAATCTTACAAGAGTTCTTCCTTCAAGCTGAGATTCCTCAAAGATGTTTGTAACAAGAGTCACCGCTGTCCCTCGGTGTGACCGATGACGTTCACTTTCCATTGGAGGGTACAGGAGGGAGACAGATGGGGGGAGTGGAAAGAAGAGGAGGCTGGCTAACCCAGAGCTGCTGGGCAGGGCTGCTCTGCCCACCCCTCTTGCTGTCTGCACAACAGTCATGACTTTGTGTCATTCAACTTTCACTTGACTGTGTTAAAACATCCAAGAAAATCCAAATCTAGTAGGCTCTGGTAAGCGGCATTACCCATGTTTTTATCTGCTCTGCTTTCCCATGAGCAAAATACAAACACAAAGCTGTGAGATTATTAAGCAAGGAAACTAGATCAACATTTCCAATATGAGACGGATGTTTCTCCAAAGTCCCAGACCAGGGCTGAATGTGGTTCATCTTTAACAAAATGACAGGACCTGTTTGGGGATCCCTGTAAAAACAGGGAACATAGCTAATGCCCTTGCAATTAAATTATTTCATGTTGCGGTGCTGTGAAGGTTTAGGTTTTTAAAAATTATGGCCTTCAACCTCCCAAGTTTGAAAAGAGCAGGTACATAAGTTAATCCTTCAAGCTTTGCTGCTTTGATTTAAAGATCTGCAGGCAGGAGGCCTGAGGATAGCCATGGCTGTGGAACACTCACCCATGATTCTACTCCAACAGTAAGAATCAAGTCACAAAACTTGTTCGGCGTAATCTATATTGATTCCCAAGAGGAAAAAAAAACACTTTACTCAACTTTTGAGACAGCATTAGCAACGCCTACGTGCAGCAGAGAAGGATTCTGAAATCAAGGGCACACATCATGAAAGAGCTCACATGAAAACAAGGGACAGATTGTACACATTTTTTAAAGCCTCACAGTAAAGCAAACCTAGCAGCAGATCCAAACAGTGTTGGCCAGCCTGCTGCAGAGAGACCCCGCAGTCACCAACCCATGCTTTAGGGCTGTCGCCAGACTTGGTGCTGATTACACCAGGTGGCATTTATTTGTGATTGCTGTCACCCCTCTTAACTGAGAAAGCATTCTGAAGGGATGTTCTTCAAGCGACAAAGAGACTGCAGCAATACAAGATTTTACATCTTGAATTAAATTGCATCTAGTGAGGCTAGCAAAATAGATACCTTATCATTGAAATATGCCTCAAGTCTAAGATTTTACTATCAGCAGAACAAAGGTGAGAGAGGAGGGATGGGGCAGTGAAGGAAATCAACCTCACAGCCTCACCACCAAAAGCCTTACATTTTCAAAAAAGTTAGGAAGGAAGGAAGGAAGGAAGGAAGAAAGAAAGAGAGAAAGAGAAGTTACCTTCACTATTCAGGAAGGGGGTTAGGTGGGGGAATGGACAAGAAATTGACTAATTGACTAATTCCTGCTGGGGCAACCCTGTTTGGCTGTTTCTGTAGTGGATACTTTATGGGGTGGCAACAGCCAACCTCACGTGTGACCCCGATGAACATGGCCAAGCAGGTTTAATCAGATCAGAGACACAAAATTTTGATAACAAATTCCGCGGCTGTTAAGCGCCTGCAATAGGAGGCGAGAGACAAAGGCAGCAAAACACAACCAAAATGGAATCCTTCCCTTTGCTGGCGGGTGACAATGATTTACCTGTAACCTGGAAAGTGGTAGGTGGTGAAGGAGGGAGCTGGAGACTCAGCTAGGAGCCAGCTTCAGAAGATAAACTGCTCGGGGTGGTGGGGGAAGGTAGGAAATCCTTGTTTTGTAGCCCAAGTTTACTCAACTATTCGTTAACAGTTTACAGGGTGCTGCTCGGTTCCTGCCTGCTGCTCCCAGATCTGGTCCTGGTTTCGCCAGCCCTGCACCCTAGGAAAACCATAAAATAAATCACCTCAGCCTCCCGGATCCTACACACTGCTACCTGGGGGCAGCACCACCACAAACCTGCTCTGGCCCTGGTAGGAAGGGAAGCGGGCAGAAGGCAATAGCAAGCATTAGTACTCCAAACTTTTCTTCACTCCTGCGTGCGTTAAGAGTCGATTTTTGGACCCAGGTCCAGGAAGGATTAAGTGTCTAGCAAGTCCACTGTTTGCCTCACCTCGTCTCGGAAAGGAAGACAGACTGAGTGGACAGGCAAGAAGCCAAGAAGCGTCCCCCGGCCAAAGTTCTCCTACCTGCTCCCTCTTCCTCCTCCGTCCAAGATAACAAACTCAAGCCACAGCTGGCAGCGC